TGATCCACGATCCTCGGTCTTCGGTCTTAACGCTCGGCTTCGTGGGTCAGGCATTATGTTACTGACTCACCCGGTTATGTAGTTACCACGTTGTGGTCTAGTTAAGCAAGTGTACGTTTATGCAGTTACCCCGTTGGGGTGTTATAATACACGTGTTGCCTCCAAGTTCTAGTGTGTGTCTCCATGGAACAAATTACGCAAACACAAACAAATACAACACTAACCAATCACCATCCTACCAGGCAAAGCCCACTGAGTTAAAACTTACTTTTCAAAAGCGACCTGGCAACAGATGACAGCTAGACGAAGCGACGTGTATAATTTTGGGCATCTATAGCGGGCAAATAATCTAAATAGCGCGTAACGGACGTTTGTTAATGTGGAGGGCAAAAAAAATGCAAAAAAAACGGAGGATCCGGAGGGAGCAAAAAATCCACTCCAGTAGCCGCGGTAAGCGCAGGTAGCAGCGCGTTCTACAAATGAGAGTGCGATGTGATCCCCAGGCGTTTTGCAGCGGAGTTTTTTGCTTATCCGCCGGTCCCCCCCTTGCTCGCTCGCTCGCTCGCGCATGCACGCGGGCGCGTTCGCTGCACCGCTGTTTGCTCATTGCGCATTGCCCGTAAATTGAATTTGATCACTCGGATTTTGATTCCATCAAAGGAAGGTCCCCCACACTTTCAATTCCCAGTTTACGCCCGAAAAAACACCGCGCCGACGGTCACAACGGGGTCCGCTGAAACACCACCACCAACAACAACAACAACAAAACCTGTCGCGTTTTCGGATGAGTTTGAGTTAGATTGGGGGGTGAACGTATCCACGCTTTATCCCACCGTGCCACGAGAGTTGCGTCGTCTCCGTGAGCTTTGTCAAGTGAGGTTGTCGGGACTTGAACAGTTGGCGTGGCGTGGTTATCTGTATGCGTGTAGAACTTATTTCGCACCGTACGTAGCCAATCGCGGAGGCTTAATGGGGTCCCCCCCCGCCCCTGTATTACACCCCCTCCCCAACCCCTCTTTGTATCCCCGAGCCTGGGACCCAGTACAGTCTGCGCAGCCGAGCATCTCCACTGCTCATTGTATGGAGATCGCGACGTGCTTGTGTGATGCGGGGATCGGTGGTGAAATGGTTAGCGGCCACCCGGGTTCGATTCCCGCTCGCGGCCTACACCGGTGACGATAATCTGAACTGGTCCAGGGCCTCCCGTAGGCCGATTCAACCTCAAATGAGTACTTGGTGCGGTGTTTAAATATCGCCACTGGGGAGACAAAGGCGGTCGGGCGTGGTGCTGGCCACACATCCCCTCGTGTGCCGTGCCGGCTTTCGTAGGTGCTCGCTAACAGCACTTGCTCAAATGATATGTTAAGGCTATACGGGGGATGGTTTGTCTTTGATGCGTCTAAGCCACTGCGGCAGCCAAGTTCTTGGGCGAGGCAATACAGAAAATAGGTTCCTGACCAATATTCATTGAGTTGGGTAGATCATAGAGGTGTACACGTAGGAGTTGTCTTCGGCAAATTGTTACCCCTGCCACATACAAAGAATACTTATTTCGTATAAGTCTCCCAACGAATGTGCACGTGCACTGCTGGATAAAGGCTTCTCCCTGCTCTGTCACTCGACCATACATCACGACGGTGGTCTGTGCTGGTTTGTGAAGTGGTGGGGGGGGGGATGGAGGGGGGGGGGCAGGATCCGGGCCAGGTATCGAACTCGGGTCGCTGGATTCACAGTGCAGTGTGCAAAACACTAACAGCGCTGATTGAGTTTGTTTTTTTGCAAATGTTATTGCTGTTGTCTGAGCGATATGAACCTAGAGCACGTATGTTGGTCGCCGTATAATAAATGAATAAAATAAACAATCACACGCGACGCAAACGCAACTTAACACGTGTGCCTCACAAGTATATATATACATTTTTTTAAAATATAAATCAAATCAAACAATCCTTCGATTCCTAATTAACTTTCGTGCAGCTGAGTCATCAGGTTCAAGGATAAGGGCCTGCGATTGCTCGGTCGCGCCACTGCCGCCGGACAATCCTCCACTCGAGGCGTCTCCAGAGAGCTCCCGCGGTGTTGCAGCCTCCACCGCCTCCTCCACGCTCGGCCAGGCATCTCGTACGAGGGCGGTAGGGCCCACACTTGACCCCACCGCCACACCGCAACGTGGCCCATCGACGAGCCGCGGATCGCGTGGCCATTCACAACCGCTGGGCGGACAGAGCTTTGAATGGGGCGAGTGGGTGGGCGACGGCTGTGGGATTGTGAGAAGCGTGCACCGTTGCTTGCAACTGCCGCGCCTGGAGATTGAACGTGAACCGGACGACCCCTGGGGTCTGGCGTGCCGCCAAACGTCGCAAGGGCTGTGCGGAACGGCCTCGTGTAGATGAAACAATTTTAATCACGGATCCGCTATTATCTCTTTTTTTTCTCTCTTCAGGCGCGGCCCCTCTTTATTTTTATTGTCTTACGAAAGCCATCGAGAGCGAGCGAGCGAGCACATCAGTAAGGGCAATAATAATAATAAAACCATGCAGAATTCTCACGCAAAATTAAACAGGCCCTCGAATAGCCCGAGCAAGCAGTGATACTCAAGGGAATTTGATATTACGTGTATTTAGTATTTACGGAAAATCTGTTTTGCCGTGGGATGATACGCTGAGGGTAATACGCTTCGAAAATGTAATCTGAGCAAATTTGTTGTTGCTGTTGTTGCGCCTACAAATGGTTTTTTTCTTTATCGGGCTGCAGCCAGACTGCTAAGGACCCTCTTTGTTTTAGGTGAATGTCTTTTTTATACATCTTGTAACGGCGCCTTCTGTGTATTTTTTGTTATTTTACGTGTGGGCTATAATTAGATATCTTGAAACAGCATCGGCCTCTGCGAGTGATTTTTCCAGAGACATGGATGTGTGTTTTGTATTTGTCTCGTGTTGTTTCATGACTTTAATGAAGCTTCCATCTTTCTAGCTTATTATCATAAACATTGTTTTAGCAAAATTTGCTTTGAGAAATATCTTTTCAAACATAGAGTGGATTGGGGGGTGGTGGCGCAGTAGTTAGCGCACTGAGCTATGAATTCGGCCACCTGAGTTCGATTACCGGCCACGGCTAACACCAGTGGCGAGTAATATCTAAACCGGTCATGGGCAGCCTTTTCACCAACCTGTACTGATCAGGGTAGTGAAGTATGGTCAAACAACCCACGTTTATGAACAGCATGGGGAGGCCTTCATCTAACACGTGCATCAACGAAGAGCCATACACTATTAATCGACTAACTATTGTGGTTGTTGATGATGATGAATCTGAATATGTAATTGATAAAATAACGTTCTGCTGCTCTACACAACAGTCATGGGGACGATGACAAAGATAATGATGGTGAACCTTGTTGATGACGATGATGATGGTGAACCTTGTTGATGATGATGATGGTGAAACTTGTTGATGACGATGATGATGGTGAACCTTGTTGATGACGATGATGGTGAACCTTGTTGATGACGATGATGGTGGTGAACCTTTTCGATGACGATGATGGTGAACCTTGTTGATAACGATTATGATGGTGAACCTTGTTAATGACGATGATGGTGAACCTTGTTGATGACAATGATGGTGAACCTTGTTGATGACGATGATGGTGGTGAACCTTGTTGATGACGATGATGATGGTGAACCTTGTCGATGACAATGATGGTGAACCTTGTTGATAAAGATTATGACGATGAACCTTGTTGATGACGATGATGATGGTGAACCTTGTCGATGACGATGATGGTGGTGAACCTTGTTGATGACGATGATGATGGTGAACCTTGTTAATGACGATGATGGTGGTGAACCTTGTTGATGACGATGATGATGGTGAACCTTGTCAATGACGATGATGATGGTGAACCTTGTTGATGACGATGATGATGGTGAACCTTGTGAATGACAATGATGATGGTGAACCTTGTTGATGACAATGATGATGGTGAACCTTGTTGATGACAATGATGATGGTGAACCTTGTTGATGACAATGATGGTGAACCTTGTTGATAAAGATTATGACGATGAACCTTGTTGATGACGATGATGATGGTGAACCTTGTCGATGACGATGATGGTGGTGAACCTTGTTGATGACGATGATGATGGTGAACCTTGTTAATGACGATGATGGTGGTGAACCTTGTTGATGACGATGATGATGGTGAACCTTGTTAATGACGATGATGGTGGTGAACCTTGTTGATGACGATGATGATGGTGAACCTTGTCAATGACGATGATGATGGTGAACCTTGTTAATGACAATGATGATGGTGAACCTTGTTGATGACAATGATGGTGGTGAACCTTGTTAATGACAATGATGATGGTGAACCTTGTTGATGACGATGATGATGGTGAACCTTGTTAATGACAATGATGATGGTGAAGCTTGTTGATGACAATGATGGTGAACCTTGTTGATGACGATGATGATGGTGAACCTTGTTAATGACAATGATGATGGTGAACCTTGTTGATGACGATGATGGTGAACCTTGTTGATGACGATGATGATGGTGAACCTTGTTGATGACAATGGTGATGGTGAACCTTGTTAATGACGATGATGATGGTAAACCTTGTTGATGACGATGATGGTGAACCTTGTTGATGACGATGATGATGGTGAACCTTGTTAATGACGATGATGGTGAACCTTGTTGATAACGATTATGACGGTGAACCTTGTTGATAACGATGATGATGGTGAACCTTGTTGATGACGATGATGATGGTGAACCTTGTTGATGACGCTTATGACGATGAACCTTGTCGATGATGATAATGACGGTGAACTTTGTTGATAACGATGATGACGATGAACCATGATGATGATGAACCTTGTTGACGATGACGGTGAACCTTGCTGGAGCAGCGCTCCGTCAACATCAAAGCGACGGCATCATCCTTTCGCCCACCGCTGAATCATCGCCCGAATCATCGCCGCCCTACCTTGGGGTCGTGAATCCCCGTGAGCTCGTCGCGTGACCTCCCTCCCACCAACATCGCGGCCAGGTTGGCCGTGTAGATGCAGAAGCACAGGAGGCAGAACATTGCCCAGAGGCCCACGAGGAAGCGGCTGGACCAGCACCGCGGGGCCCCCCTCGCCACGTTGCGGCCAAACAGCACCGAGTAACAGAGGCCGAGGGCCGCCGCGAGCGAGAAGGAGCCCCGGGCCTTGGCCGGCGTCCCCGCCGCGGCCGCCGCCGAACCCGAGGTGCCAACCGGCGCCTCGCCGTCGGCGCGCGGAGTCCTGCACTCGAAGAGCGTGAGGAAGAGCGCGATGGCGTGCAGCGCGACGAAGACGCCCACCCACACGGTCCAGTGGAGCGGCAGCGCGAAGGCCCCCAGCGGGTGGCGCCCCTCCTGCCGCCGCGCCACCGCGATGGAGAGGCTGCTGGAGAGGAACGGCGCCGTGAACTCGAGGGGCGGCGCGGCGTGCGGCCCCCCGGCGCCCAGCGCCGTCACCGCCAGGTCGGCCGCCCCGCTCGACAGCTCGCTCAGTGGCCACGCCCAGCGGGCCCTGCCCCGATCGTCCGCCTCCGCCTCCGCCGCCTCCTCAACGTCGTCGCCGCCGCCGCCTACGTACAGGTCGAGGTCGAACGAGCGCAGGTCGAGGGACAGCTTGTCCAGGAGGTCGACGGCGTAGCCCGAGCAGCAGCGGATGCGGTAGCGACCCTCGCCGTGGCCGGGGCGGCCGTCGCCGGCCGGCGTCGCGACGCTGCCGTTGCCCAAGCGGAGCTCGCGGAACGCGGCCTCCAGCGACTCGACGGCGGCCGCGGCCGCCGCCGCCGCTGCCGCCGCCGCCCCCCCCGCCGGCGAGGGCCTCGAGGCAGGGCCGTCCCGTCGCGCACCGCCCCTCGTCTGCGGCGTCGGCGGTGGAGACGAGCGGCGGGTGGGCAAGCGCGGCCACGCGCAGGCGGGGCCGGGCGGGGCCCCCCGGGCCCTTGCGAGCGCGCTCCCTCGAGTCCGGCCACAGGCTCGGCTCGATGGTGATCTCGGAGGAGTCCCACGAGCCGACCTTGGTCCACGTGGGAATGCCCAGCAGGTCGTGCTGGAGGTGCCAGATGTTGTGGCGCGCCGTCGCGGTGATCCTCGACGCGTTCTGCACTTCGATCCACCCCGAGATGCCCTCGAAGCTCGTGTTGGTGATGAACCTGTAACGGTGGAGGTCGCGGGGTGAGGGTTGGGAGAGGGGGTTGGAGGTGAGGGGGTGGTCAAGAGCGTCAGCGTGGGGAGTGCTGTTGGCTGTTGACGCCAAGCGGCGTTCATCTCGCGAATGAAATGGGTGGCAAAAAAAAATTCGAATGTCCGTCGACGGAGTGTTTATTGTCGCTCCGGTCGATGATGACGATGATGAGCGGGTGGAAATCGCCAAGCACGACGATCGCTTGGGCCGCTGCCCGCCGCTGACCAAAGCGCGACCGACCGTGACGAGGCGATCCTGGCGAGTCTCAACGGAGACGAATGCCAATAGTGCACTGAGGAATATTAGATGGAACGTTGGTTTTACCCGAGTTCATAGTGCACTGAGATATATTATTAGATGAAACGTTTGTTTTACCCGAGTTCACTTTAACGGCTGACCTCAGCATAACATCGGCAGAGAATTGTGCACCACTGCCACCAACAATAATCGAAAGCGGACTTCATCTCTGGCTCTTTTGTCGCCTCGAGTGAGACGATCACCAAAAGGAAATCCACAGACTAAATTCCACTGGGTCTCGTCGACCAACCGTGCTCATCGCACCTCCAATTAACACGGTCGTTTATATACTGTGCGAAAGAAGTTGAACATACATACGTAAAAATACACCAAAAACACACCGACTAAATTAACACAATGAATGCCCACACAGCTTACTGTCACTTCATTCCCTCCCATAAATACCATGTTTGTTGTGCTGTGAATACCCGAGCTATACAGACAGGTTCTACCTTCGGCTGCCACTGCATCGTTGGTCTTCAGATTAACACTTAGTAGGCTTTCACGAGAAATATTATTCGTAATAAAGGTTTTCATGGGTTAGATTGCTTAAATATAAACGTGTCGTTAACCCACCACCACCCGACACAGCCAATCTGTAAGGTTTGTCACGTAAACAAAACACGCCAGTGGCTTCAGCACACCGGTGTGTTGGAGAGTAATTGTGCACGTTGTGGGTTTTACTCTCCAACACACCGGTGTGCTGAGCTAACCCCTAAAATCTTCATTATGAATCGTTAGTCTTGGCCATCGGTTGCCATCCCCTCTCGAGAGGTGTCCTTCGCAAGCTCACTTACAATTGAGATTGTACTTGAATAATATTCATCATTCTCGTGTATTAACCAGTGCCGGATTATCTTAGTAGCAAAAGTAGCTACATATTCTACGGGCCCCGCACTTTCAAGGGCCCCGCGCTTAATGCTTTCAAGCTATCAATTCCGGTTCAGTGATTCTGCACTTGCTCAATTACTATAGTACCTTACTGCCTTCAACTTTTATGAACGACTGGGTGTTTAAGGTGATCGATTTGTCGTATTATCTGGCTGTATAGCAAGGTAACAAATAATTACTTTACTATGCAAGTAAAAAAAATCGTGTTTTAATATTTACGTGTTTTTTTAAATTTAGGGCCCCTTTATAAGATATGCTACAGGCCCAGCACTAGCTTAATCTAGCACTGGTTGTAGGTGTTAACATTATAATATGGTCACAAAAGCAAAGTTTGTGGGGAACAATAGCCATTTTCATACTTTTGAGGCAAAAGCAATAAGTAAATAACACTTACTAGCCAGGAATAAAAAAAAATAAAAAAAATTGTTGCACAGTGAGGTGTCTGGGTTAATAGCGTTGTGTTCTCACCACTGCCGGCACTGTTCTATCTTAACTGATCGGCTCTGTATCTTAAAGTGATGGCTGCATGCAGTGCTGTATTCATTATGTATGGAGAGCTGCTCGATTTTAAATAGGTGGCCAGATGATGTATTAAGTACTTTTACAAGTGGAGGCTTTTGTTAAGGAAGGCAGTGCCTAGATGTATAAGTGCATTAATTCCCAGTCGCCCTGCGAACTCTGAAATTCCAAGGTGTCCTTTGTAATAACAACAACAACAAGAACGATGACAACAACGCCGCGAAAAGGGCCTTTCCGTCAAAAAACTCTCAATCAACGTTCTCTCTTTTGGTTGGAGAAATAACCGTCTCTGCTACGCGTAGGCTTTCACGACCAATATCATCCATAATGTGGGTTTTTTTTTGGGTTAGATATAAATGTGTCATTAAACCCGTCACCACCCTACACAGCCAATTAGTAAGGTTTGTCACGTAAACAGAGCATGCCACATTGTTACTAGTACAGCACACCGGTGTGTTGGAGAGTAAACCCACAACATTTACTCTCTGAGTTCTCAAATTGTCTGAGACAAACCTGACTGATTGGCTGTGTCGGGTGGTGGCGGGTTTCACGACATATTTTTACGCGATCTGCTACTGTCCCCACGGTCTATAATTCCTTTCTTCTGGCAGTTCACAATTGCTGAGACTCCTCTGTTCAAATACATCATCAATACTTGTATTTTCTGCCTCATGGCTGTGTGCTTCTCTTTCTCCCTATACAAGTGTCTTCATTTTCTCTTCTGCTATGAACATCGTCTCCCCAGTCCCCGTTAGCATTCTACCCTGCTGTCCCTGCATAAGTAAAAATAAAATAGAATACTCTTGAATTCCGCTTGTAAAAGTATCTTGAGCTATAGCCTCATTTACGTACATGCGTAAGAAAAACGCATTTTGTATTTGCCTTTCAATCGTATTCAAAATGTAAACAAAGCACTCTGCGAATCTAACTTTTTCTAACAGTGACGTGTTGGCGAAGACAGCTCAATGCACGGAGCGTTCCACAATGGCGGCGCCCGGTAGTGCTGCACTGCGTGAATAAGGGGGACACGGTGGCTAGGAGATGTTAACTACCTTGCCTGGTATGCAGGAGGTCGTGGGTTCGATACCGACCCTGACACCTGTTTATTTGGAGTTTGCGTTTCTCTCTCTCTCTCTCCGCGTGGTTGTGTGGATTTTTCTCCAGGTCCTCCGTTTTTTTTGCTCGAACATTTGGAATCAATGCGCGTTTAGAGTGTTTGGCAGCTATTTGCACGTGATGATGAGCCACTTCGTTGAGCAATCAACTGTGATATCCAGGTCGCTTCTGAAAAAGAGCTATACAGCTCAGTGGGCCTTACCTGGTAAAATAACAAAAAGTTAAATCTTGACTCAAAGCTTTCGTTACTGCAGGAATTCCTGATGATGACTTTACCTAAATGATGGCGACCGCTTGTTTTGCGATCGAAACGTCGTAGTTTTTTGTTATTTTCTTTGAATCTATCTACGTGACTTTACCGAAAGACCCAAAGAATAACAAGTAGTTCATAGTTTAAATAGTTTGTAAATTAATTCTCTTCAGTTAGTTGATCTGTGGGTCGTGGTTTGTGATGGGAAAAAAAGTGTGGGCAGTATTCCCATCCTCTTCCATGATATTTTCACCATCTAGAGCCCTTCTCTCGGGTTGCCTCTCGTGGAGGCCCCTTCTGCCAGCAGTGGCTTGAGTGAGCAATTGCAGGGCTGCACTTTCACTTGTTTTACTAACGTGACAAAAAAACGTTGACGGTTTTGTTCACATCCATCTTGAAATTGTTCCATGCGTCAGTTTCTGCGTTGAACGATTTGGCTGCTATTAATTTCCACGTGGTGATGATGACGACGACGTCGATAAGAAGCCACTTCGTGAAGCTGTCTTCCGTGATAGCCAGGTCGCCACTGAGCTGCTTGCTACACGGCAGCTCAGTGGGGTCTTACCGAGTACAATACAATAACAAAGTTTCGTTCAAGCGGTTCCGGGCGCTATGCGTCCGTGGCCATACGGCCCCGCGGTGCGCTCCCAGGTTGTTGCCGCGCGCTCTGCCTCCGACACGGCGTCGGCAGTGACAGCCGAGGTTTCGCTCCACGCCGCGTGAACTCCCTCCAGGAGCCGAACGTTTTTGTTGTTGTCTGAACCCCCCCCCCCCCCCCCCCCGCTCTGTTGTTCTGGGCTCATCGCGCCGGACAGCATGCTGGCGGTATGACCCAAAAAAACACATTGCAGGGTTATTTCAGCGTCTTAAATTTTACAAATATCCCTCCCCCCCCCCTCCCATCCTTCCTGCACCCCTGGAAATGTCTTGTGAAAAATAAAATAATGTTTTGGAAGTTCAATGAAATAGTCGTGAAGTTTGAACATTTCGCAAATGTCACGCGATAGCAGTTAGTTATTTGGCCAGGATTACATTTGCATTTTGACATATGATTCAATAGACCTCTGCTCTGTATTAAAATCAGACCTGCAAAGCGTTTTTTTTTCATGCAATGTCTTTCGATGAATGAACAAACTTATTGCTACAAGGAACCAATTTTCCTCCCGTCAAAGTTCCATTTATCAGCGCAATGCAAAAAAACAGAAAGGTCACCACTCAATGCAAGCCGCTGTAGCATTCCATTGCAGTGGAGCATTTATTTCGGTCAAGGTTGCCTATAATATTGCTCGGCAACTCCAAACTTCGCAGCTTTTTAACACGTGGGAGTTTTTTTTTATTATTGTCGTTGTGCCTTTAAATGTATGAAATGCTCAAATTTAAATTTTCCTTCGCTTTGGTTCTATTCGGTAAAGTCACGTTACCGAATAGAACCAAAGAGCATGGATCCTTGCAGTCACGATAGCTTCAAATCTAGAATATATAATTTCCTTGTCGGCCATGACGGTTGCTTTGACCATACTTCACCGCCCTGGTTAGTGCAGGCGGGCTAAGGTGAGCGCGTGCGAGCTGTCGGCTTCCGAGCGCAAGCGTGCTCACCGTTGCGCCACTGCTCTATTTTCCCAAGAATGTTGAAATATCGACTTCTCACTGATAATAATAATTTCAACGTATAAAGCGCCCTCAAGCAACCGTTCTCAGGGTGCTGCCGAACCGTTATATAACGGTTCGGCAGCAAATGGCCCACTTTGGGCCGATGCGACAAAATCTGGTGATCTCTTGAAAAGTGGTTCCCTTTGTAATTAAAGGGACACCGTTTGGGGGGTTTAAGCCGAGAGAGGAGATAATTGAGTGTCCTTGCACTCATTGCCAATGGTGGCATATTTCGCATTACAATCCTAATCACGCGCACCAAATGCCCGGCGCTCAATTGTTAAGTCCAAATCTCATATATATGTTTATATATAGCTGGCCTTGAGTGAGCGAGTGAGAGAATCGCTAATGCAAATGATGGTCGAATAGAGCGTGAATGCTGAAATTTGGCAAAACTACACTGTAGCTGAGTCTTTAGTTCTCATGGGAAATATCCAATTTCATATTTCATGCCCCCACCCCCCACTTTGGGGTGGGGGGTGGGGGGGGGAGGGAGCAGTTTTTATACCGGTTCCTTTTTGAGATTGTCCACACAGATCTGTGAAAATGTGCATCTGGCGGTTTCGAACGGTGTGTGTATATCATCGTCACCAGTAGCAGCAGCAGCAGCAGGAGCTGCCCATGGTCGATCTACTGCTGGATAAAGGCTTATGTAAGCCTACACCGGTGTGTTTACACACAATTGGTCTGAGAAGGCATCGGGCTACTTGAGCAAGGGGCTCCAGTGGCAGCTCGGAATGCCATAGTCAACATTCAGTTCCTGAAGAAGCTCCGTGGCATGTGGAGCGAAACGTCGGACATCGTACAGAACGCGCGGTAAGACCTGGAAACGCACCGGAAGAGCCGTACGGCAGCATGACCTCGAAAACCAACTTAGTAGATACAATACTCATCATGGCCATCATCAACCATGGCCTCTGTCCCCCAAGTTCCTGTGGTGTAACATCAATGATTGTACAATTAACAAGGTCAAAGTTATTTATTTCTCAAATGAGCATCGAGGGAGTACTCGTCTGCTGTTTGAAGCCCTGCGCCAGTGGTGGAAATTCCACATTCCTATGGCAGGTTTGGGGAGGGAGGGTTGCGTTTGGGGTGAAGGGTAGATCGACTCTAGCCATAGACTAACCACTCGACTTCTATACGTATGTATATTGAATTTCTTTCTCACCGTACGTATCCAGCCGTGCTAATCGGAGCGGTACTCATTTCGTCGACCCTGGCGTTAAACCCCAGTTCAGGATTTGAACCATGGGCACTTCCGACCGCAAGCCTCAGCTCCGTCTACCTGCTGAGCCACAGCCCGCAAGTGACTTCACCCCTCTCACCTGAAGAGGTACTGTCCCGACGTCTCCGACGTCGTGTCCAGGTCGAAGCAGTTCGTGACCGTGGGCACGAGTGTGAGGTCTGGCCGTACCATGACGGCCGTCCGGATGGCGCGCGCCACCAGCTCGAACGAGTCCACCAGGTAGTTGGAGAGGTTCGGGTCGCGCGTCCGGCCAAACGCCAACAGCCCGAGGGGGAACTCCTCCCTGCGGAGGCCCTCGATGTCCTGCGGGTCGCCCAGCACCCACTGGTAGGCGGGCGCGAGGAGGCGAGCGGTGGCGGCGGCGCGGAACACGGCCCCGGCTTCGGCGACCTCGCAGCCGAACATGACGATGGTGTCCGACGCGCCCCTCAGGGTGCGCAGCTGCTCCGCCAGGCCGTGGTGGCCCACGGCCGGGTTGACATTGAGCACCGTCTGGATGTCGAAGGTGGAGTTGACGTAGATGTGGCTGAGGAACTGCTCGTAGACGTGCCAGTGGACGTCGCCGTTGCACACCACGAGGCTCACGTCGCTCCAGCCGCGCATCTCCAGCAGCTCGACGAGCACGTCCATGAAGGTCCTCCGGTGGGTCCTGAAGCTCAGCAGCAGGCGGTTGGAATCCTGTCTCACCCAGTCCCCCCCACACCGCGAGGTGAAAAATGGCAATGCGTCAGGGTGTGATTTTTTTTCTACCGCTAATAAAAGCATTTTTTTATTACTTTGATTGTTTTGGCAGATGTTGTAAATGTCTGCGTGATAAGCCAATTCGTTGAGATATAATTTGCGGCCAAGTCGCTTCTGCAAATGAGCTACTAAATAGTTGAGTAGGCCTTACCCGGTGAAATAAAAAATAGTTTACTTGAGCATGATTTTTTTTTCAGCTCGCGGTTGCTCAAATACAAGCTGGAAAGGGCCGAGCAGCCAGCAACAATCAGCGCTATTAAAGTTGTGGTAGATAGGAGTGAATACTTTGTTAAATTGAGCAAGGTTGTAAAGGAGGCTTTGGCAGGGAAGTCCAAAGTGGAGCAGCACGAGGGAAGAACCAGATGTGAAATGTTGTGACCTGCGGTGCGGTGAGAGGGTGGGTGAGTGGGTGAGTAAATCAGTAGGTGAGTGAGTCAGTGGGTGAGTTGTTGTTGTTACCTGCAGTGCGGTGAGTTAGAGGGTGGGTGAGTGAGTGTGTTGTTGTGATCTGCAGTGCGGTGGTTGAACACAGTGCGTTTGAGACAAAACAGCCAAACTCTGCTTTAGCGAGTCCTCAACACGAGTGGAGGAATCAATGACGACAGTTCATGGGAACAGTATCCACAGTGGTAGTAGCGATAGATGAGCAATACGGAATGGAACTGACCTCCGGTGAGTAAGTGATTTGGAGTGAATGGATGAGTACTGGATTATCAATCAATAAATGGCTCTGCATGCACGTACGATCTCAGAGCTGGAATTAAGCTGAGTGCAAAAGTCAATTTCACATGGTGGGGTTGTTTTCTTTGTTTGCATGCAGTCATTGGTTACCGGGTTTCAGGATGAGAGCATCAGCTCGTTACAATTTGAGGGACCCAGTTTAGTCGCTGCGATACATTTCCATGTGATGATACACCTCTTCGTTGAGCTATCATTTATGGCCAGGTAGCCTCTGAAAAAAAGAGCTACGTAGCTCAGTGAGCCCTTACCTGGTAAAAATAATAGTTTAAAAACATTTTTTGCGGGTGTTCGAAACCCAAATTCAACCTTGCATGGCGGTCTGAGACATGATGAGATCGGGCAAATTCTGGGCTTATTTGGCCATGATCACTTTTTTGTGTGCTTGTGTTCCAAATGACAGTTGCAAGGCAACGGCCCTCAGTGACCAGCAGCAAAAAGAGCTGGAGTTGAGGGTAATCCACCACCTGGATGAAGTCCTGAAAATCCTGCGTTGGTCGTGGAGGTCGCGAGCTTAAGAATCAATATCGGGGACACCTCTGATATGATTGTGTTGTTGGCCTGAACTCGAATCCCAGGATTTGAGCAGTGCTGGCCCCACGCTATGATACGGCGGTGACTGTGACCTCCGTTTAAGCCGCCTGACCACCTCGGTGAATCGCCTCCGTAACTGCACGTCACGTTTTGAGTGCTCCTGTCATAGCCAGAAGAAGCAGTAGTTCCGTGGTTAGTTAACTGCACTGTGAAGCGGGCGACCCACATTGGGTTCTCAGCCTTGACTCACCCCGGCGAACGAGTGATATCTGACCTAGTCCTGCCCCCCCCCCCCATTCCCATTTCACCAACCTGCATTGACCACCGTGGTGAAGCATGGTCAAACAAGCCTCATGACTGACACAGCGTCGGGAGGCAGCGGCTTGACAAAGGGGTTATACAATATCACCGCGGAACAGAGGGCATGCTTTGGTGGCATCCATCGGTGGAATTTGTTGCCTTTCTTTCAATTGACGGCGGCCAGACAGATTGCGACCAGCCCACGTTTGACCCCCGCCGGATGGAGTCACAAGGCGGGCGATGAAGAGAGGGTGACAGCGAGCGGAGCGCCGCAAGTGCGCTCTCCGCGGTACGCGCCACGTTACCAGCCACAAGAAGCACTTCCCTGGCGCATAACGCGTCCTTTTTTATTGCAATTTCAACCTTGACGCACTTTTGTAAACGCTCCCCTGGACGTGCTGTTACGCGCGGAAAATTATACGGTACGAGCGCGCCGTCCAATTTATTTGTTCGTCTATTTTTGTATTTTCATACGCGCGGCGGGAGACGGAATAATGGCCTAAATTGTGGAGCGACGCTTTACATTACGGCATATTGGGTCCTTGGAGTAACTTCAACGTTGATCATTTGTGGAGGTCGAAATTCCAGGCAAATTCATTCCACTCGAAGCAAATTTTGCCAACAACAAATCGAGCTAATGGGGTCTCCAATTCACTGCTGACGAAGTCTTGAGGTGCATTAAGGCAGCCTCGTGAGAAGGTGACACAAAAATGTCGTTAGTTTTAAAAGGGACTCACGCGTGCCGAGACACCGTGAACAATGAGCAATCATTAAATGTATGGGCCCGTTGAGTCATGGACGGTTGAAGGTATTCTCAACACCGTGCCTTTTGTGGCGATGGTTTGACCCTACTTCACCACAATGGTCAGTGCAGGTACAAAATCAATTGTTTCTGATGATGTTGGCTATGGCCACTGCGTTTATGTGTGACGGGAAGGGCGCCACCATCGCGATATGTTAACTGCCTTGCCTGGTCTACAAGAGGTCGTGGTTTCGATACCCACCCTGACGGACGCCTGTTTATTTGGAGTTTGCATGTTTTCCCCGTGGTCGTGTGGATTTTTCTCTGGGTCCTCCGGTTTTTTCCATCCACATTTAGAAACGTGTGCCTAGATTATTTGGCTGATGTACATTTCCACATGATAATGCGCCAAATTGTTGAGCTATCATTTGTGGCCAGGTCACTTCTGAAAAAGAGCTGTATAGCTCATTGGGCCTCAGCTAGTACAATAAAAAAACATTTCAATTGTTGTAGTTTCGTAGCGCAGTCTGCTAACCTCTGCATCCCCACTTTCCCGTATGTATGTTGAACTTCTTTCACACTGTATATGGTCAACCGTGCTATTACACTGGATTATAATCACAACTATGCTTAACAAGGTTACTTACATATCCGTATGGATTTACGAGCGTCAAGCATCGGTGGGTTTTCTCTGGACACTTAAACATGAAAAAAGAGTTATGACAAAAAAAAAGAATTCGAAAGAATAATCCCAATGCAGCACCCTACTGAAACATAATCTTGAGGCTCAGTGAGGTCTTACTGGCTAACCTAAGGGGGTTCATGATTATCATCATGATTATTATCATCTATATATACTTCTAATCCACCAAGCCACCATCCAAGTTGCTGCGTTACTCGGGTGCATCTTAGCTTGCAGCGTGCTTTTTAAAACTATTCAACAATTAAACAATGTTTTATTTAACTAGATAAGGCCCACTGAGATATATAGCACTTTTTTCAGAGGCGAGATGGCCACAAATGATAGCGCAACGGAGTGGCGTATGATGTGAAAATGTATAGCAGCCAAATACTCTGAACGCATGACTCTAAATGTGGAGAGACAAACCGGAGGACCCGGAGAAAAATCCACGTGACCACGGGGAGAACATGCAAACTCCGAATACACAGGCATAAGAATTGGGATCGAACCCACGACCTCCTGCATACCAGGCGAGTTAGTTAACATCCCGCTGCCATGGCGCAGTGGTGTGGACAGTGTGCGGCGAGCCATGCAATCTGAACCCGACTCCGCAGCGAACATCAGCGGTGAGTGAGAGCTGAAAGTTCACCAACCCACACACTGACGCGGCGTGGTGAAGTATGGAAAAAAAAAAACGCCATGACGAACACGTCTTTGGGAGGCCTTCGTCCAACAATTGGACTGACAACCGGAAGAAACTTGGACCGATGAGCCAACGTTTGAGCCAACGGTTCAAACCCTATGCCAACGTTGGCCCAACGTTGTACGGTTACTGGCAAAGGACTGTAAATAAATTCGTATTAATTATGCTGTCAACGCCATGTCATACCGTACGTGTGTATGATGTCGAACTTATTTCGCACCGTACGTCGTCACACCGTGCTAATCAGAGGCGTGGTGGGAAGAACCACAAACTAAGCACAAAAAGCAGTTCTAAAGAAATGAGTTTTCAATCGAGAGAGAGGAGAAAGGAATGTCATTTGAGAGCATCTCTCTGTGTGAGCAGTAGGCCACGTTTTTCTTTTCAGGGAATGGCCCCCCAAAAAAGACTGTGTCACAGAACCACTTCTGAATTCACTCCAATAGTGGTCTACCTTTTTATGAGTCCTGCAAGTATTTTTTCGTTTGCGTCAGATGGCAATCAAAACAAAACCCTTCAATCGTACTCGCTGGAACGCGCTACGTTTGCTTGCGCAGAGTCACGAACCCTACTTGGAGATGACGTAATAATAACAACACTTTCATTTTTGATTTAAAGCTTTCGTGACTGCAGTAATTCATATTCTTAGCTCTTTCGGTAAAGTCACGTTGAAGGGAAACAATAAAATAATAAAATATATGTAAAACAATAAAAATTCTCACGACGTTTCGACCATAACACAAACGGTCGTCATCAGATGTGAAATGTTTCTTGCCGTTGGTTTTTCACACCTGATGACGACCGTTTGTGTTATGGTCAAAACGTCGTGAGGATTTTCATTGTTTTATATATATATTTTATTATTTTATTGTTTCCCTTCAACGTGACTTTACCGAAAGAGCTAAGAATATAATAACACTTTCATTTTATAGAGCGTCATTCACTCTGCTGTCATCCCATACGAATGCCATGTAAGTAACCTCGTTAAACGTAACCTGTTTTTTTTGTTGACTTTCACGTGCGGTCATCTGTCGGTGGCCGAGCTTTAGCCGCCTTTTAAAGTTCACCACAATTGAAAAGGTAATTTAATCACGGACGGCTGAAACCCAGTTTCGAATCTAGGATGTCAGCAGTGCCGGCTGAGTGTCGGTGATGGTACTATGCCCCAGGCCGCTTGTCCACCTCTAGGTTCACAGTGTTTCAATATAATTTGCCGGATGGCATGCCGTCCGGCGATCTTC